TAATTGTATTTATTGACTAAAGAAAAAAAATTGTGGAGGGCTGCACATAGCAACCATTTAAAGGACTGCAGCAGTATACGAACAGACCGCACTATCCAGAGAATTCCAATACTGCAGACTTTATTGAAATTCACAGCAAATCCTGTATATCAGTGAATAAAAGTGTACAAAGCAACAAATGCCAGCACTGCAACCAATCAGCTACAACCTCTCACATGTTTCACCCGAAGGCTTATTCATAGAGGTAACAAATACAGACCAGTATCTCACTTAAATGTATTATACTGGATTTGCTGTGAATTTCAATAAAGTCTGCAGTATTGGAATTCTCTGGATAGTGCGGTCTGTTCGTATACTGCTGCATTCCAACATGGAGACGCACCTATTAGACCAGGACCTGGGGAGTCCTGATGGTGGCTAAGGAATTTGAGCGGTGAGATTTCCTTTGGCTCTACATTTAAAGGACTGGTTTGAACAAATACTTACTTATTTGAAATATAGGAAGCCAAGTTTTCTGAGTGGCATACTTTTGGGGTATTTTAAATATTGTTTAAATCAAATATGGAGTTTTAGTCAGCCAGATGTTTCCTTTCATTTTAAAACCTGAACTAGAACATTTGCTGGCATTTTTAGGATGATAACCACTTTCTGAGTTTTTTTATATAATATTCCTGATATATTCAATCTAACCTAGAACCCCACCCCCAATATAATTTCATGATCTATGGAAACCTTAGCTGGTGACTTTTCACCCGGATATTTTATAATTGTGTTATCATGTCGTAGTGATATTTCTGATACCATGCAAGCTATAGGTTTGCACACAGTCCTATAATGTCTGCTGAACAAAAACTTGCATAAAATGGTGGAAATCAAGGTTTTTAAAAAGGAGTAACAAACATTGATAAGAATGTTTGCATCAAGATATTTTCTAAAAACGCTGAACAGACTATAAATAATTTTTCAATAACTACAGCAACTGTTTTCATCAGTTGCTATCTATATGGGTTGAGGCATGGTTTGAATGGTACAGTGGAGAAGACAGTCCACTATGTTGTTGCTGCAACTGTATTAGGACCCATTCACACTAGGGTGGCAGTGGTTCAGCGCGGTTTCTGCGCGATTTTTGAAAGGCCGTTTTTAAATGGCGTTTCAGTGCTGAAATGCAATTAAAAATGCACTAAAATGTGCTGATCAGCGCATTTCCATTGAAATCTATATTGAAAACGTGCTGATCAGCGCTGAAAAAGTACCTCAGGGAGCAGTTTGGGCAGCAGGCAGATTGAAATGTGTGATTGCGCGTGTTTGCGTGAACGGGCCCCATAGGAATAAATGTGTTTTTTTACTGTTGGCGATTCAACGCGGAAAAACCTGCGCGACCCAACCGCCCTGGTGTGAACGGGGGCTTAGTCCCCATTCACACATGAGTGTTTTGTAGCTCAACTGTCTAAGCTCTACAACATTCAACAAGAGGAATCCCATTGTGTTAATGACCCCTGTTCACACCTGAATGTTATGTTGCTTAAGCAAAACGGGCGTAGCTCGAAAAAGTATATGACCTTCTTTTGGAGCAAAGTTAAGCATTTTGGCCCCAATGAGCGTAATGTGCATTTATTAAGCATTTCTTGCCTAGTAACTAACTTTGCAGTGGCTTAAAATAAAAATAAAATGTTCCAGCCTGACATGCTTGCAAAAACTGCTGTACAAATGCTGAAAACAAAGGACAAAAATACACCCAAAGATACTCCCCTCAAGTGTGAATGGGGCCTTACTTATTTTAGGAGCTGTATGCGACTTTAAGATTTATCAAAGATTGTCACTCCAGAGCCCTTTTCTTTAAAAAGTTCAGTTCATGTTTTGACCAGTGCAATTTCATAAATTTTTCAGCCTTACACCAGGCAATTACTGTCAGGATTTCCATATGTCTAGCAGAAAGGGCTGTAATTTTTATGGTGACACTTGATTGCACTTTTCGAACACATTCATTTGATAATTTAGTGACTTCGAGAAGTATGACAGTTTCTGCAATTATTTGTTTGGGTACATATTTTGCCTTTAGTTGATATATAAACTTAGAATAAAATCTTATTGGAGACAACATTACCTATTAGTAGTGTTTGCCCCCACCCTCCTTTATATGTGTGCATGCATTGACAGATGGAAATGTTTGTTATGGCTAATCAATCCATTCCCTTCCACTCATCGATGACACAACATGTCATCATTTCTTTTAACCCACAGCAGGGCAGATTTCATACTTTAGAAAAATTGACCTTTTCCAAGGACCATTAGCAGTAATCTAGCTTGGATACCAAAAAACAGTATGTCCCAATTATGTTAGTGTTAGGTAGACTCAATGATGTCTGCAAAGCGCAGGCTCAATTATGTCTATACAGTTGTTCCTGCAGCATGCCAAACTCAGTGCAATATATCTGCTCATTTTATGACCCTGACTAGTGAACATGCTTATTATTCAAATAGTGTGGGAGTCTTGTGCCTGTAAGAAAACCATACATGTGACATTTGGTAATGATCTTGCAAATGATTCCCCTATCGGAAAAGCCTTTTTTTCCCCAACACAGGCATCTATTATTCAGAGAATATTATACAAACATCACACAGGCTGTTAAAAACTGGCGTTATGTCTTCACAAAGCAGAACAAATGGGTATCAGCTCAGAGAAACATTTTGTCTGTTGTTGGCTTCCCATAGTTATCTCTCATGACTGTTCAGTACAACTATTGCATAAAAGTAGCACAAACTTTTATTGTGTTACCATATTCCTCTAGTAATTACTAATGGTACCTGTATCAAACCGTTTACAACTCAGGCAATCTAGATTTTATAAACCTTATATTTACTGGTAGTAAAGCGATAACATGGATGTACTGTATATTATAAGCATTTTGGCACTTGCAAACCACTGGTAAATATTTGCAGATACACTGTTAATGGCCTGCATCATCCTTAATGATGGTATCCACTGGGTATTTCTTTGCTAATATAGCACCATACATTTAGTAGGTAGATAATTACTTTTGAGTCTCCCACACTAATTGAATGTACTGTTTTTTTACATGTGCAATAAGCAGAGCTGCACAATTAGTGAATAATGAATCAGATTCCCTATGTAGAAACTCCGGTGATGGCTTGTGATCATTAGGTTTTAGATCACTTTAAAGTGTGCCAGCAGTAGACTTTCTGCTGAAGTGAAACTCCTCCGTAGTGGAAAACAAATCTGCCTTTTAAAAATATAGTTCATGTCGACATTATCAAATGTACTAATGAAGGACAAAAGCTGGCCATACACCTTACAATTATCTGCAGATTTTCTATGGTCAGATGGAAAAGCCAAAAACGCATCTAAAAGACTAGCGTGCGTGTGCAGAAACCTGACCGCATCTGCTCTGCATTTGGTGTGAACAAGGCCTTAATGTATATAGTTGCTAATGAAAATCTCTGTTTACATCTTGCTGTGGCCGACGGCTAGATTCTGCAGCTGCCAAGTGAATGTAAACAACGGGCAGTGGGCGTGTGCAATAGCCAGTCTGTTATCGGCTATGGCAATTTGAAATAGCCAATAGTAAAACCTATCCGGCAGATGAAGAGGGCAGAGAGGTGTTGCTTGAAAATAATAGTAACTCTCAAACAACAAGAGCAGACAAGCAGGGGTTTAAGGATAAAATCATTTACACATTGTTTAATTTAATTTTCTTTTTGTATTTTGCTAATTTTTTGTTTTTAGACTTGGAAATGTGTAATTACAATGAGTTATAAAGTTAAAAAATTAAGCGTCCCAAATTAAATTTTCTAATTAGCCTGCATAATGAACCTGCTTGAAAAATAGAAGAAATTACTACATTTGTAATAATACATTTTACATTACTTTACGATGCAATAAACTTGGCATATTTGTGGTTTTACATGCTAAAAAAAGTTGCTATGCCCCTTCAAATATGGTGATGTGATCGGGGAGCCATACATTTCATTGGAATGTTATTTATTTCTAATTTATTTATTTCATCATAAGAAAATAAAAACATATATCAACTGGAGCTCTCAATAAAGGTTGCTTAATAGACATGTGTACACAAAATGTTTTTGTTAACAACTAAATTTTGTTGCTAAGTAAATTCTCTGTTTACATCTTGCTGCTAGATTCTGCAGTCTGCAACTGAATGAAAATAATGCGGAGCAATAGCCAGCCTGCTATTGGCTATTTCAAATTGCAATAGCAGGTTGGCTATTGCACCAGCCACTGAGCAGAGGAGTGGACTCTCTCAAACATGTGGGGGCCAAAAACATTAGATGATCATTGTCAATTTCAGGGTTGAGATATTTGGGGTTGTCTGTGGGATACCTATGACAGAATCTGACATACTTGCATGTACTTCATCTGGAAAGAAGGCTATCAACTGGTTTGGAAATTTGTGCTTGTCTGAAGAACATTTTTAGAGAATTAGAAACTCTATCATGTTTTAATTGATGTCTGTGTCCTTGGTGGGTAGATTCTACCTCACTTCCCCCCAAACCCATCACACAGATAGAAGCTGAGAAGGAATATCTCCAATGTAGGCAAATACAGCAATAACAGGTACTAACCCTTCTCCACTTTTCTGTAAAAAAAAAAAATGCCATATTGCTGCCTGTCTTCCTGTTGGATAATTGCCCCCTCATTTTTTTGTCCCAGTGGCACAAAGAGAAGTGAGAGGAAATAGGTAATGGTTACAACCTCTGTAACATTTTATCATGTGTAAGCCCATGTCACCCAAAGCCATAAAAAAAAAGCTTTGGCCTCATGTCCACTTTAAATGAATAATACTTGTGGGTCTATCTTTCTGTAATTGGCTTATTTCTTGATATTCAACAGCCTTTGACCAGCACTTTTGTTTGTTTCTTGTCACTATTCATGAAAGTGTTTGAGTAATATTTATGTTTGCTGCATTCATTTAGTAATTCTGAACATGACTTTCACTGAAATGACAATTATTTATTTGTAGAATATGAAGGATCCGGAACTGAGATTCATAGGAAACATCCAAGATGTGGAGCCTGCAAATATGGGGCTGAGTGTGATGAAGATGCTGAAGATGTAGGGTAAGTAAGAGGTGTAATTTAATTAGATCATGGTCCACTCACTTGCATTGTCTAAATAGCAAACTTTCTGTTTTTTCTGTATTCCACCAGGAATACTCAGTCGCCTGCATAACCTGAATCCAGTGTTTCATGGCTATAGGCACAACAGGCAAATTGCTGCATCCTAACTACAGTGTTACAGTAACATTTGTACGTTTCTGTAAAAGTTTTTAATGTAATAAAATGGGTAAGATCTGGCCTGCTTACTTCCTGCAGAGCTCTGAGGAGATGGGCATATCTGGTCCTTTCCAGAAAACTTTCTGAATTGGTACAGACAACCTCTTTGCGAACTTCAACATTCAAAAAGTGCATGATCCTGTTGGGACCCCCTGTTGGGGAAAGTTGATTTTTCAATTGACTTTTTTTTAAAGAGTTAGTCCGAAAAATTTCAGCTGAACAGTGACTGCAGCCAGATGTAACCAGATCAGTTGCTGGCATTGTTCGGGTATTCTGACAGTGGCACACCTGCTGCTGTCAGAATACAATAGGCTGATAGGAGGGGGGGGTTCCCTCATCCAATCTATTTTATAAAAGTCGACACCAGTATATTAAACTAGGCACCGATAAGTACATGATTGTACCCTTATTTGTTCTTGATGTACCTCCTGATTTGGTAAACCCAGGACAACTGAGAAGCAATGTTCATGCTCAGAGGTTGATCCCCTGGCACACTGCTCTCCCCCTTCCCTTAATGCAGGGCGTGGAACCAGTAGAGAGGCCCACATTATCCACTGTCATACTGTGTAAAGACTATGAATATTAAATTAAAATGATATTAAAAAAACAGTAAAAGAGCTTTAAAACAAGTAATCTCTGACCTTTCTAGCTACTTGTAATGTTAAGTGTTGGTGTCAGTGGGAGCAAAAATAAACCCCAGCATTGGTGATCAGTGGCAGAGAGGTCACTGGTCACTGAAAAAGCCCCATTTTTATTGCTGGTTACCCCTACCCCTATTACCCCTACCCTTTCATTGTTGGTCAGTGATTTTCCTTACTTGATCAAATGCTTCCACACCATTGCCTCTTTCCATATCGGGCCGCTGCCTAACAGTACCACAGTTTTTTGGTACTGGAACACAGAGTACATTCCTGCATCTACCACCCTGCATTCACTACTTACACGCACCAAGCTATCTGGGTCCGCCAGGACAGCCCGCAGGACATGAACACTGCAGGATAGTCTCTCAAATCCTGGGGCTGTCCCGTAAGATCCGGGACGCTTGCAACTATGATTACTCTGATTTCTGAAATATTTCCCAATAACTAACTGCTATCTAACACCTTTGTGTTATGAAATATCTTTTTATGATATATATGGATGGAATAAGCTGCATACATAAATAAAACATACATACATGATTAATTTTTACATTTAAGCTATATGATAACAATACAGCATGTGGCTTTTATGCTAGCTGAGCAACAATGATAAAATACAAGGATAAATCTTCAATAGAACTAGATGTTATTAATATATTTCTGACATACAGTAAATACATGCTGCCTTTTGCTATTCATTAGTTTATTTGTGGTTATCTTATAATAAACAGAACACTTTTAAAAAGCAATGCTTAAGATTAGTGTGACATAGAAAACCAGCAGTTTGCATTACATGAAGACATCAATTTTGTGTCTGGGTGTCGATAGGTGTAATGGCAAGCCACTATTAGGTGAGCCACTAATAGATTCTCACTAAAAGCTTTTATTCTTTATAGAGACTGCAGATTAAAAGCTGAGGCAAAACAAAAAAACTATCAAATGTCTGTTTTCATGTCATATTTTCTATTTGCCATAAACTGTTGTACCATTAAATCAGTTGATCATTTTATATATAAAAACAGATGGATGCTGTGGAAATACGTGACATGTCAGACAATAGTGTCCATTGTAAGTGTGTTCACTAATGTACATGGACTAATATGGTGTCAGAAATGGAATGTCGAAAATGTAAAGACATTTCTGAAAAATATATGTATTGGAAATTGCTGAGGCACTTCATGCTCACAAAAAGGGTTAGAGTTTATTCACAAAAAGTCCCCCAAATATTGTAGTGCCTGTGTGCACAGAATTTATTCATTTGTACTAGACTCACTTTTAACAAGACCCCCTCTAGCAACTCTAACATCAAGAAATCAACATGTAATGTAGAATGTAATTTATTCACAGAAAAAAGCCCCCATATATTGTAGTGCCTACATGCACAGTGTTTACCCACTTGTACTAGGCCCCATTTTCAACAGGACTCCCACTAGCCACAAAAATTATCGTAGCATAATTATTTTGCAGAAAAAAGCCCATAAAACACTCTAGTACTTACATGTGCCGTATTGAATTACTGGTATTAGGCCTTCCACCAGTCTTTGATATAGAGTCTTGAATCATGAACTGATTTCTCTTGGGAAAATTACATCATAGTTACATCATGAGGGGTCGGGGTGCTTTGATTGGTTGATGTATTCTTCACTAGTGTATTTATGTCTATTGTGTTTGCACTCATGTTATCACTGTTTTGCCTGATTAGGGGCCTTTGCGTGGCCTCAAAACATTGTGTTATGTGATACTGAGCATGCGTTAATAAAAGCATATTGATCAGCATACTGGAGTGCCAGTGACCCCTTCTTTTTCTTCTTTTCCTGGATCAATGTTGCATGTCTAGTGGTCCTGCCCTAAGGTACAGAGGTTGTGGATTAAAGTTTACAACCTCATTAGAATGCTCCTACACTGTGATCTTCCATGAGATTTGTGGGAAGCCCTGTTGAACAAAAAATTCATACATAAGGCCAAAGCAAAACTAGGAACCTACATATTTTTGGCCATGTGACAAACTATTGGGAGGTTCTGGAAACAACCCTCTCTCAACTTTATGAGGATTAAAGAGAGGATTACTTGTACCTTTATTAATGCAAATTGACAGCTATCTTAAATATCTCCTACAGAAAGTTCCTTCAAGTCTGTTCACTATTTGTGCTCCCAGGGTTTACGTCATGATCTTCTACGAGTCTAATCGGTGGGATTTGGCTTCCTCTGGGTGTATCACACCTTCTCTTCTTTCTACTCTTTCCTGTTTTTATTTCCTTTTCTTCTCTTTCTTCTTCCCTTTCCCTGGCTACTGCTCTCTTCATGGGGAACAGATATACAGCTGCAGTTAGCATAATAACTGACTGTATGCTCTTACCCATATCTTTATACATTGTTCTTATGTACTGCTAATGCAATCTATATGGAATGTTGTAATTTGTGATTGTGTACTCCTGTTAAAAATTCATACAGTTGGACTTCCTGCTCAGGTCCCTGATTGAGTTATCTGGAGTGACTCTCCGCCCTCTGTTGCCAGTGACTTAGATTTGTGAAACTATTTCATTAAGGATCACATCGCTTAAAGTAGACCCATCCATTTCAAGGACAAACCCTTGTGTCCTGTAACTTTTAAAACAAATGTCTGGGGTCCTATGCTTCAGCTGTGATGGTCTTATAAGCATCTAAGCTTATGTCTCACATGGGTGTAATGTCTGTTCATATGAACAAGATGATTTGCTTGTAGCCTTGAAAAACCTTTAACGGCAGTCGTCTTTTTGATTCTGCCAATCTTTTTAATGCTATCCCATTAGCCCTCGCAGTCCATTAGGATGGACAAAATACTAGACTTGGGATGATGCACATTAATCGGCACATGCCCTGTGCAAGGATGATTCAGGAAACTGCACTGTACCATGCTTGTCCACTCTTCAGAGGAGTTTTCTTTTCAATCATATTTGGTTACTCCCCTTGCTGTGCTTGACTCTTTTCTACCCTTTCCCCTTCCTAAGAGATCCCGTAGCCTGCAAGATCAACAAGGATCAGTTCCTACTGCAACTTTACCTTGTATGGACCTGACGCTTCAGTATCCCCTAGCTCTTTCTGACCCTACCCACGGCACAAAATCTTATGTCCACCCTGTTGCCTTTTTTTCCTGACATACCCATTGCAGATCTCTTAGGAGTTTGTGCACGTTGTGCTATGCCTAGGCCCCTTTAGTCTAACACATTGAGGACCGTTGTCCTTTACTTGTTAGGGGTTTCTGGGATTGTTGACATATTTTATTTCACATGGTCCCTTTTCTCGTGGTGTCGATCAATCCTTTTTTCAGTTCATGTCTCAATCTCAATTAGAGAATCTGGATTTTGGAAAAACACCAAGCCACCCACTTACGTCTTAAGTCTGGTTATACAGAACAGACAGTTTTTAAAGTCAATTTCTCCAGTAGGGGCAGCATAACTGTGAATTCCTATGTCCCTAAATGTACTCCAGAAAAATATGGTGGGTGCAAAACTCCTTTTTTTATTATCGTATCTGCATGTCTTAGATTGTGATAACTGAAATAAAGTCTACTGTATATGACACATTAGGGGGGATTTACTAACCTAAACACACGCACGCACTAGGTGCGTGTGATTTTTACACAGCAATACGTATTTATCAACCAAAAAGTCTCTAAAAGCATATTTCCACTAATGCCATATATGGAAAAATCATGCACATGATGCATATATAATGCTGCTTCACAGTTTAGACAAAAATGGTTAGCTCATGCATTTACATTCCTGCATTCATCAACGCAAGCAACACAATGTAGAGCCAATTTACACAACATCACCTTGCAATTCATGCAGGGCTTTGCACAACACACCTGCTGAGTGTACACACTACAAAGGTGTCTTGATTCCACCAATAGATCATGCTGGGAGGGAACACCCTACAGAGGTGAATACTTGTTCGTGGTGCGTTTATAAGGTTAGTAAATCAACCCCATTGTCTTCAGGGAAAACATTACGGATGTAACCTTTACTGCAGTTCTTTGCTAACATGATAGAAAGCAATAATTTTAATAATAATGAGAACTTTCAGCTCAGTTGGTAACTTAGGACTGGCTGAAGACACATGAGACAGTCATAGCAGCATCCCACAGCATTCAAAGTAATTGAA